AGGAGTCCTTCATGATATGATGGCCATCATAGATTATGTTTGTCATGACTTAGAGAAGTACCTAATGAATTAAAGATATATATTAGAGTGTGAGCATATTATATAATAATATATAGAGATAAAAATATGGAGCAGTGCTAATTAAATTTTGTCTAAGTTATTAAATTTATCCATCAATAATTAATTAAAATTAAATAAAATTAATTGGGCAAACATGTGGCTATGCAAAGAGAGATATTATTAGTGTGGAGATCGGACGCAGAACGCCGTCCGGAGACTAATCATAATGCGCCACGCCAGAGTTACCATGCTGCGGTACTGGCAGTTCCGAGCTGCAATATCAAGCACAGGGGTGACTTGTCATATTTTGGTTGATATCCGGACTACGCACATAATAAATAATCATGCAAAGAAAATTTTGTGGCAGAAAGGATTTGATATGAAAGCTTGTAGTGCATGGCAGCCGACATGTTACAGTTTTTTGCTCATCTAACTTTTTACGGTTTGCATGCAAGCTATTTATTTGGGGAAAATAATTAGGAATAAAAAATTGAACGGAGATATTTTAATGTAGATTATATAAAAATGAGATTTAAATTTATTTTAAAATTAATATTATTTAAAAAAATTTGTTTTATATTGATCTTAAAATAAATTTATTAAATTTTTAGTCTTATTTTTATATAATTTATATCATAATATTTTGATATAATTTTTTTATCAAGCATAATAAGATGGATTTTAAAATTTTAATATCTATTTTAAAATGACTATAATTTTTTTTGAAAATGAAAATTTTAAGAAATATAAGATATATATAATGTATAATTATTAAATTAACTTTTTAAATTTTTTCTTTAAAAAAATAAAAAAAATTAAAATTAGCATCATGATCAATTTTTTTTTTAACAAATTATAATGCTCAACAGTTTTTAAGATTTTTGTGGTATGCTCAACAGCTTTTAACAAACCAAATAAATATTCTCATATTATTGTAAGATGAGGTAGTAGTCTAGTAAAAGTAGTTTAGGATTCGGTGGAATATTAATTGGACTTGTAATTTTATTTTCTTGGAGAAATTGAGGGCTATGCCCACTTGTGTTTATTAATAAAATTGATAAAATTTGAGAGTTATAAAGGCAACAATATTGCCCTATCTACAAGAAATACCTATTTTCAAACGATCATAGTTCATGTTGCGTTGTATGGCTTGAATGTGGTTCGTATTGCTAAAGAAGCCTTTTTCAAGGGTGTTTATAAATGTAGTAAGTGAAAAAAAAAAAAGTAATTTCATTTGGCTACTATTTCTTTATTGTATTGTTGGCCTTCCTTTGGGTTGGCTTAGTTCTTGTGGTTTGTTTGGTTTCTCGACTGTTGTGGTTTTGTCCGTTTGTTGTGACTTTGGGTCTTTCTTTTGTGGGGGCTTCACTACGAGGGTTGAGGTGATTTTTTTGGGGGGTTGGCTATGGGGTTAGATTGGGGGGTTTGGGTGGGGTTTGCTTGGTGGGTTTTAGGTTCTCTATGGTATTTTGGTTGCTTGGTTGTTGGGTTGTTCTCCTGTTGGTTAGTTTGGTTGTTGGTTTTCCCTTGCCTTTCTACTTTGGGTTTGGCTTTAGTTGGCATTGTTTCTTTTATTATGTTCTTATTTTTTTTGTAGGAGGCTATTTTGTCTTGCAGGTGTTCGTGCGGTTTAATTTGTCATGCCTCTTCTGTCTACTCCAATTGTGTTGTTGCTCTGATTTTGGGAGTCTATGTTTTCTCTGCTGGTGTCCTTGTGTTAGGTTGGCTTTGACTCCTTATATGTTTCCTTGCCTTTATTTTTGTTTATTCTATTGTTGCATTAGTTGGATCATAAACTCTTAGGTTATACTTCAAATGCTGTATTTTTAGAGGGCACTTGATCCTTCAAGAATTTGTATCTTTTGTATCTTTTTATTTATATTAATGTGTAGGCCCCATCGTGAATTTTATCTATTAAAAAAAAAAAAAACAGGGAAGCACAAGAAAGGAAACCGCCCGAAAAACAAAGGGCGAATATTTGAAAGGCAACTAGCTACATGACAAATGTAACAAAATAGCATGGATACAATTGATAAATCTGGGAAGGTGACCAACAATAATGGATTGGTTGCATCGTCTATCTTTAATAAATTGGATCATCATTACTGCTCCCAATATAGCGAAAGGATACCTTAATGTCATCAATTGTGTTAAGAAATCAACTAATTAGCAGACGGGTAAGATAGTTGGAATCCACAAACCAATAGAATATTGCCAACAGCAACGAATAGATTATTATCAAAATCAATTCGTGAAACCATCAATACGAAATAGACCCACCAGAAACATAAAAAAAATTGTTAAAAACCATTAAGTTGGTTCTAAATTTCCATGTCCTACCTTTTTCCATGAAGTAATCATCTCTAATGAATTGATGCAGCAAATCTAAGGTGACCAGATAATCAAAGAAGGAGAAATTATTCTGTGCGGAGTCCGGACGGAAATAACTTTTGGACTGTGAGTGTACACACTGTGTATATTGTACACTGTGTACACTCATTTGTTACACACTATATACAAATGTGTACACAGTGTGCACACTCATATGTCCGAATGATTCTTTTCAGCCGATCTCTGCACAAAATAATTTCTCTTAAAGAAGAGAGATGCATCAGTTTTTTTGTGCCACAATTCTAAAGAACACTTGATTGATTAATTTTTGGATCTTTGCTTGCCAAAATATCTTTAGTTTTGAGATTGTTGGCTTAAAATTTTGAGGCAAAAATTATAAATTTGTTTAGATGACCGACCTTTAAACCAAAATGAGCTGTAGATTATGGTGAAAGATTTGATGAATTTATTTATGAGAGAAATTGTCTTTATTTTTTATTTATAATTAATATAGAGTCTTTAATCTGAATGTTTAAAAATTGATTAATGCAACCAGCAATCAAAATAAGAGAGTTATTGGGAAGGTTTTAAATACCTTTAGCTAAACTTTTATAAATTTTCGGGAATTTCATGCATTCTTGTGTGAAAATGCCATTTTCTATAATCTTATATTTATTTATTATCAGGGAAGAAACAAATAAGAAATAGAAAATTGCAAGGGAAAAAAAAAACACTGACATCTAACGTGTAAAAATTGGAAACCCGAAAAAAAATTATAAATCCACACCACCCAAGAAATTCACAATGAAAATTTGATATATATATATATATACACTCTCAAATTATTTCTATGCACTCTAGCACGGTTCTCTTACTAGTACAAACAAATAGAAACACTAAAAGATGCAAACCTCAATGAAAAATCAGAAATAAAACAGTCTAGTCCTCCTCACAGAGCCGCAATGCCAAGTTTGAAGCGCTACAACGCTCAACTATCTATTTTCAATCTATCTAACAGCACCACGGTGCTCCGCTTTCTATCTACCTCCAATCAAACAATACAACATTATAACGCTGGAGTATATAGTGTCGTAGAACTGTTTGGTTGTACAAAAAAAATAAAATTGGGGGAGGACCTCCTGCAACCCCCAACGAATTTGACTGATGGAATTGAGATCCAAGATGGCAATACAACCAAATAATTTTAGCTAGGCACCAATGTCCTGACGATGATTGTTAGAGGTTGGCGGAGGTTGATGATGATCATCAGTGTCAATAATCAAGCAAATCTTTAAAGATTTTCAGATCTTTAAACTATATATAATATCTAGTCTAGGCTCCCTTATGTGGAAAATGTATATCTATTTATAATATTTTAGGAATAACATTTTTATAAATTTGACCAAAAATGACATAGAATGACTAGTATTAAATCTTCGAATTATAATTTATTTATTCATCATTAAGTATCTTAATGGCCTTGTACCTTGTAATTAAATATTCTTAGGCTTATTAGATTCATCTTGTCAAGCTGCTCAACTTGATTATGAGCATGCAATATTCATATATTGTTTATCCTTTCAATTAGCATCATGAAATTTCTAATCATGGTTCAATTGCTTTATTTTGGTTCATTTGGATTCGAATGTGACCAACTTTGATGTCTTTGGGCTAATCTTTAGACAATTAATTTGACTATAAATTTACTATGATCTGAACTTGAATGCCTCTAAATTTAACTCTATAAATTTCCTAAATAAATAATGCATCACGATCAATATTTTTTTTTTGAGCTTATTCTTCAATCAAATTAATTAAATAGATGGAATGCACATTTTTTCTTTTAATCCAATATTTCTTTAAATATAAAAATTTAGAGAAAGTAGAATTCCATTGCACATAAAGCGAACGGTTCTACTAAGAGTGTAAAAACGGGTGAACGGGTTGGATTTAAGTCTGATTTGAAAATTGGCTTGACCCGAGTCCGATCAATTCGAATCAGACCAGTTTAATAAACGAATGAAAATACAGATTCAAATCTGATCCACTAGTAGCCCCAAACCAAACTGCATAACTCGTTTTGATTTAATTTTTTATAACTTTTTAACAATAATTTCTAGATTTTCCGATCCGAACCTAACCTTTTTATTAAACTGACCAATTTGAACTCAAATTTTTTGGATCAGACTCTACCTGATGGAGTCGTTCTTTGAACTCCTAAATTCTACATTGTATATAATTTATTTAAGTTTTTAGGCCCTTTAAATAATGTGATAAGAAATATAATGAAAGTAGATTAAAATCTGACGACTTATGAGTTAAATAATAATATATACGATTTTTTTTCAAAACAATTTTTTTTTAATGATGATATCAGTTAATTTAAATTAAAAAATGTTATTTAAAAACTAAAAAAACAAAACAAATCGTACCCCTTAGTGTAATCATTAGGTTTGATTATACATAAAAATGGGCAAATCAGAATTTTTTTTTGGGGAAAAAATCGTAATTTTCAATCTATCATCAACTCCTTTAATTGCATGTTCCTTCACATGCCTGAGAAGTCCACTAGTAAAACTGTAAATCCTTTCAAGTCAGAGGGTCATTTGCTGGATGTGGTTTCCTATTTCATCTCACAAGCTAAAGGGGGAGAAAGCTCTCGCCTTTCTCTTCTTTCTACTACTTCTCAGTTCGCTTCTCCATGGGGTTCAGACGGAGTTCCTTCTATCTTTATTAAAGCGAAGCGCGAGAGAATCTTTACTTGGTTTTCTCCATTGTGGTGGTTCCGGTGTTGACGTGATTGGCGTTGCTAAGAAATCGAAGCAATGAGGGCTCTTGCGGTCCCTTGTTCCTCCTAATCCCCTTTCTGACTACTTTGTCCTTGTTTTCTTCTCTATATGTGGATTGAACTCGTGCCAGGTTTTATGAAGTAGTAGAAGGAGAACGGGTGTTTGGGTTGGGGCAGCGGAGAATGAGAGAGGGCCTGCAGGATGGGCAATTGTGGAACGAGAGAGGAATCCGCAGTGGCCGCAGCTCATGTTCAAGGTTTCTTCTGACAATTAATGCCCTATTTGGCCCTTTTAATTTCTTTTCTTCTTCTTCATTTGTTAATTTCTTCTCACATTGCCTTCTTTCATTTTATTCTACTCGATTTTGTGCTTCTTGCGGATCTCGATTATTCCGTCTTGGGGAGTCATGGGTTTGCTTAGAGATGTTTTTATCAGATCAAACGAAAAAAATGTACGGTTGGTTGGAAATGCAGTTTTCAAAGGGTGATTGGGCATCGTCCATTTTTTTCTTTATTCCTTCCTTCTAATAAATGCAAATATGTAGTAAGGAACACTCCTTTCAGTTTTCAAACTGATTTCTAGTGCTGTTTTCCAATTTGATAACTTCAAATTAGTTCATTACAACCACCTTATCTATTAGTTTTTTTATCGTTTATCTCCGAGGATTATTGTAATGATAAGGGGTGTAGAGGTTCTTAAACTTTCAGGGCCTGTAATTTGTTGAAATCAACACCATCACAGTTGAAAAAAATGGCTGAAGGGAGGCGTAAATAACTTATTTTTAGCGCCTAGTATAGATCTAAGTTGTGGTGCGTATTTGGGCTGGGGATAAGCTGCAAGATATTCAATAATTTATGAGCTCCCATTTCCTTAGAATTTTTTACTGGTTTGACCGGTTCTAAGTAGCACTTTCTATAACCTGAGATTCCTAATGCCTTACCTTGGCATCATTAGTCTTATTTATGAACTCGTCTTAGATTTTTGCTCATTAAATAAAGGGCTTCAACAAAAAAACCGTTTCTTTATTTTACAATCTTATTGTTTGCAGTGCAAAATGTCCAATTGCCTCAACAAGCAGCAAGGAACTCCTTGTCGGGGAAGAAGCAAAACCGCTCCTTCTCAGAAATGAGTGATCCTTCAACACCACGGAATTTCGCCGACTCGAGGAATATTGCAATATACACTGACATGATAGCTTTTACATTGTTTGAGCTTGAGACCATTACAAAGAGCTTCCGTCCTGATTATGTTCTTGGGGAAGGCGGATTTGGAACAGTTTACAAGGGATATATTGATGAGAATGTGAGGACTGGTCTGAAATCTTTGCCAGTTGCTGTGAAGGTACTTAACAAGCAAGGCCTTCAGGGACATAAGGAATGGCTTGTAAGTTGTACAGCACTTACTTTTATAATCTCGTCGTTCACTTGACTTTCCTAGTTAGAGTGTTTGTTAAGATTATTTGCCAAGCTTCGATTCTTTCTTTTTGATCTTATATGATTATCACTTATATGAGAAACTGAAGTTTTGAAAATCTCTTAGATAGTGACTTTCATGTCCTTCTCAATTAAAACTTGTAATATCCTCACTACAAAATAACCTGCTGTGCTATTTTTTAATAGGTTCGACTCTGTAAACATGCTAAAATGAAGTTTTCTGTGTTTATCTTTGTCTGTTGCTAAGGCTAGTTTGAAAATATTGTTTGCTGCTTGTATAGTTATCTGCCCTCGATATTGCATGAAGATATTTGAGTATTTTGTGTGGTCAAAATTTAGAGTTCCTGACAAAACCCTGCAAGCAGATTCTGAAATCCGATCAATGTCCCTGTTTTCCCACTTATAAGTTTTCATTGTCTGGATTTTATAAACTTTAGATCAAATAAAAAATAAGTGATCTTAAAACTTTCTATGATTTCATTGTATGTTGTTCTTTGACCATATGAAATGTTTCCTGGTTAACTGTATTATTTGTCTCCATTTGCCAGACAGAGGTTAATTTTCTAGGACAGTTAAGACATCCTAATCTAGTGAAGCTGATTGGATATTGCTGTGAGGATGATCACAGGCTCCTTGTCTATGAGTTTATGTTCCGGGGAAGCCTTGAGAATCACCTATTTCGAAGTAAAACACTCAAGATCTTACTTTGTATTTCTGTTTTTTTTTTTACTTCTCAAGCTCCTTTATTTTTCAGATAGTTTCTTGATTTTCATGAAATTGCTTTTACATTGTATGCAACTGTCATTGGTGGAAGTTCACCTTCTTTGGACATGTTAAAATATTGATATCTTGGGTTCTATTTCTTCCACTATGCCTTGACAATGACTTGTTGGCTTCACTATTTTTAAGTTGGCAACTAAAGTTGTACATGATTATGTTGGATGTAACTTTAGGAATTCTGAAAATTTACTTGCATTGGACTTATGATTTTGTATAATATTTCCATCAACTTTATTCCAACTCCACAGGCTTTACCTTTTAAACCATCTTTGTCTTATTTTCATTTAAATCGCTCTTTGAGAAACATTTTTGAGTTGTCCTAGTTTTCTTGTCCTTTATTCATTTTTTATGTTGAAAGCAACTAAAAATGCCTATTTTATATATCAAGTTGGACATTGATCATTGATGTGGAAAGAATAATGGAGTAATCATGTGAGAAATATGAAATAAAAAATATTGGTTGCATGAACAGAGATAATTAAAAAGACTACACATTTGATGTTCTAAAAAAATTTCGTTAGAGTTAAATGAGTCAGTTGGTCAACGATGGAGTGTAGAAAGCAAAGTTATAAAATTAAGAAGGCATGTAATGTTTATGAATTTTAGGTTTCATTATTCTATGTCCATTTATAATATTTGGAGTTTAAGTTATTTGTTGTGCCTTCTAGTTGATGATGGTTGAAAGACAAATTGAACTTTCATGATTTGTTTTCCAATGCAATGTTATTGCATAATCTTTTAAATTGACGTTTATTGTTTAATTTGTCTTGTATTGTTTAGTAAGGATAAGTAGTTCCAAGAAAACAAGATATTGGTGTGCAGTCTAAAAAAGAGCCTATATTGATTGAAATAGATACCAAGACTGTGGGACAAAAATTTGACAAGTTTATATCTAACAAAGGGGGCACAAAATATCAAGCGGATCGCTATTGCTTCTTTAAACATTATGATAATTGTTATATATTTCTTCTTTTGTATGTGGATGATATGCTGATTGCATGGTTAGATATAAAGAAGATAAAATAATTGAAGGAGTAGTTATTAAGGGAATTTGAAATGAAAAATTTGAGTCAAGTTAAGAAAATACTCGGTATGATAATCAATAAGGATAAGAGTGCATGTACATTGAAGTTGTCTCAAGCTAAATATGTTGACAATGTTTTACGGAGATTCAATATGAGTGATGCAAAACCAGTTTGCACCCCCTTAGGTAGTCACTTTTGACTATCTAAGGAGCAATCGCCTAGATCTGAAGCAAAGTAAGAACAAATGAAGATAACTTCGTATACTTCAGGTGTTGGAAGCTTGATGTATATTATGATCTGTATAAGACCAGTAGGAGTAGCCAGTAGATTTATGAGTAACTTAGGAAAACATCATTGGGAGGTGGTTAAATTGATTCTCAAATACTTGAGAAGGACAGTTGACAAAGCATTTTGCTTTGAACATACAAGCATTGAAGTACATGGATATGTAGATTCTAATTTTGCTGCAGATATTGATGGTAAGAGAAACACGACTGATTATATATTTTTTTAAAGAAATACTACAATGAGTTGAATTTTCAAGTTATAAAAGATTATTGCTCTCTCAACCACAGATCTCAACCACAGAAGCTGAGTTTATTGATATCATTGCAGATCACAAAAAAATAACGTGGCTATAAATATTTAAGGCAATACTTGGCAAAGGGTAAAGAAATGATAGACTATATAGCGAGAACATGAGTGTTATTCATCTTGCCATGGATGCAGCAACCTATGCTAGGACGATGCATATGCATATCCATGTTCGGTTCATTTCATTCATTCCCAGATACACACAACTCAAAATTTTGTAGATATGTTGATGAAGATAATGATGGTTGATAAAATGAAGCTATGTTCAACTTCAGTTGGTCTTCATGAAGGTTCAGGTAGGGGTGAGCCACACTAAAGTTTTCCTTCTATGGTTGGTGCTATAGATCAGGAGTTCGATTAATCTTAATCAGTCTCCAAGTGGGATATTGTTAGTTCTTTATGGAACATGCATGCCAATGCTGCAAAATGGCGCCCGCCATGGCGCACAACACGATGTGGCGTACATACGACGCTATTTGCTTGGCTCGGCGTGACGTGACGCACATACGATGCTATTTGATTGGCGCGGCGTGGCGCAACACATCAAAATAACATGCACTATTTATGCTATGCATAGGCAATGGCGCATGGCGCAAGGCACAAATGGCGCGCACTATTTTGTTAACATGTTGTAAATTATAAGATATAAATTATAATTAAATTATTTAAAGATTTATATACTAATATCATAATTAATTATTAATTAATTAAACATCAAATTAATAAATTATCATAAAAAAGGTATTTAACTTTTTGTAGGATTTAAAGCTATCTTTTTTGCTATTTGGCGGGATTTAGGCTAAATAATTGCTCAAATCCTGCTCAAATATATTGCTGTAAGTTTATGTAGGATTTAAAATTGTCATTTTTATTATTTGATAGGATATTTAAGCCTAAATTTTTTTTTCTAATCAATCTATTATTTTTTATTTAATGATATTTAATACAATAACAACAACATCAAGCCTTTGTCCCACTACGTGTGGTCGGCTATATGAATCCTTTTTCTTCGTTGTGCCATGTTAAAAGTTAAATTCTTGTTTAAATCTAATAAAGAAATATCATTTCTAATATTTTCTAACCAAGTTTTTTTAGGTCTATCTCTACCTTTCTTAATATAAGTCAAATCTAATACCTCTACTTTCCTAACTGGTCATCGGAAGGCCATCGTTTTATGTGACCAAAACATCTAAGACGACTCTCTCTAATCTTATCTTCCACTGGAGACTCCAACCTTTTCACGTATATGCTTATTTCATATCCTATCTCTAAGGATAAAGCCACTCATCCACCTGAGCTTCCTCATCTCTGCAACACTTAACTTAGTATTATGCTTCCCTTTAAATGGCCAACATTCGGCACCATAAAGCATTGCAGGTCTCACCACTATCTTGTAGAGTTTTTCCTTAAGTTTGAGGGGGACTTTTCTATCATACAACAAGCCCGATGCATCCCCCCACTTTAACCATCCAACTTGAATTCTGTTTAGAATATCCCCATCTATTTCACCATCACTATGAATAATGGATCCAAGATATCTAAAACGTGTACTCTTATTAATAACTTGATTGCCCAAAATCACAATCCCCTCACTAGGTCTATTACTACTAAAATTACACTACATATATTCAATTTTAGATCTACTCAAGCGAAAACCTTTAGACTCTAAGGTTAATCTCAATAATTCAAGTTTACCTTCAACTCCCTCTCTAGTCTTATCAATAAGAAAAATATCATCAGCAAAAAGCATACACCAAGGTACATTCTCTTGTAAATGTCTAGTGAGAACATCCATAACTAAAGCAAAAAGATATGGGCTTAAGGCTGATCCTTGATGTAATCCAACTGAAATAGGAAAATACTTGGTCAAACCACCTTGTGTTTGAACATAAGTAATAACTCCTACATACATATCTTTAATAATTTGAATATAAGTGTTATTAACTCCTTTTTTCAATAACTCTCCATAGCATTTCTCTTGGAACTTTATCATATGTTTTCTTTAAATCAATAAATATCATACATAAGATCCCCTTATTCTCTCTTTATTTTCCATCAAACCTCTCCATAAATGTTATTGACTTCCATTAGTAGACTTACTTGCATGAGTCCAAAATTGTTTGAGAACATTACTATCACGCCGCAATCTACCCTTCACAACTCGCTCCCAAAGTTTTAAAGTATGACACATTAACTTAATTCCTCTATAATTCGCACAATCTTGTGCATCACCTTTATTCTTAAAAATAGAAATTAACACACTCATTCTCCACTCATCTGACATCTTTTTAGTATTCAAAACATTATTAAAAAGTTTAGTAAGCAAGAAATTCCTTCATCTCCTAAGCATTTCCACACCTCTATTGGAATACGTAAGTCCAATAGCTTTTTCAAGACTTCATTTTCTTAAAGCCTCTTTAACTTCTTTTTTATTAAATACGCCGATTAAAAACAAAAAAATTATTTTCATTAGGTGTTGAGGTCACTAAAGTTTACATATTCACCAATCTACGTTAAAAAGTTTTACCAAAACTATCTCAAATCCACCTTTGTTGAATATCATCTTCTAAGAAAAAGTACTTTTTGATCTTCATCCTTAATACACTTCACTTGAACTAAATCCTTACTACTCCTAGCTCTTTATTTGACTAACTTATACATATATTTCTTCATCCTTAGTATCTATTATATTATATAAATAATTAAAAGCTAAGATCTTTGCATCGCATATTTCTTTCTTAGATTTCTTCTGCGCCTCTTTATATATATATCTCAATTATCAGAATATTTACATAGAAACAAAAAAATTATAACAAATCTTCTTATTTTTTATCTTTTCTTGCACATTTGGATTCCACTATCAACTATTTTTACTATTAGGAGTTTTTCTCTTTCATACTCCAATCACATCTTTTGCAATAATCGTAATATCACTTGTCATTTTTTCCCACATAACATTAGCATTCTCATGCACAGACAAAATCTTATGATCTAAAATCTTACTCTCAAAAATAATTTGTTAATATTTTGTTTAAATGCCCTCATCTAATCCTAAAATATTGTTTAACATTATTTTTTATTTTTGTCCCCTTTATCTTAAAATCTAAAAGTAATAATCGATGTTGGGTGCATAAATTTTCATTATGAATAACTTACAATCTTTGCAATCTAAAGGATCTAATTTTCTTATAAGAAATTGATCAATCTGAGTTTTACTATATTTATTTTTATAAGAGATGATATGCTTATCTTTTTTCTTAAATAAGGTATCAGCAATTAAAAAAA